CAGTCTTCTGGCCTCACTCTAGGTCCCATTCCATCTTGATCCATCAATATTCACTCATTTCACTCATGTGGTCTTTTTTTTTTTTTGAGAGGTTTTTGCTATAGGGCATGTGCACTCACCAGAAAGACAGAGACAGAAAATGAGAAATCACCCCCCAAGGGCGATGGCCACGCCGCAATCCCTTCTCCATTCTCCTCTCGGGATCTAGGGCACGCACGCAAACATGCCCAGCGTGAGTTTAAGCCACCGGGTCCAAGACTCGAATCACGGTCGACTATATGGGAGTCCAACAACATAGCCATTACGCTAACTGCTGGTCCCACTCATGCAGTCTTTCATCTGGCTACAGTTTACTAACTCTTCGAGAATTAACTCAGGTATCCATTCCTCAAGTAGTTTTCCCCGCGCCAAAGCCACTGTGTACTGCCTCTACTCTAGGCACTTAATATATCCTACACAATCCTAGTACTCATTTTATCATAATGTAATTTTTTCCTTGTTTATCTGCTTCACAGTAAACAGTCAAATTTTTCAAGGACAAGAGTTGTATATGATTCATTATTGCATCTTTTTTTTAAAGAATTATTTTATTTAACTTTATTTATTTATTTTAATTTCACCAGAGAGGGACAGAATGAGAGAGAGAGAGAGAGAAAGAAAAAGAGAAAGTGAAAAATCAAGCTGCCAGGTCCAAGACTTGAACTGTGGTCAGCCATATGGGAGTCCAGCACCCCCAACCACCATGCCACCTGCTGGCACTGCATCTTTTTTTAAAACTTATTTTATTTAACTTTATTCATTTATTTATTTATTTATTTAAATTTGACCAGAGAGGGACAGTCTGTGTGTGTATGTGTGTATGTCTGTGTGTGTATGTGAGAAAGAGAGAGAGAAACTGAAAAAGTAAGCTGCCAGGTCTGGGACTCAAACCACGGTTGGCCATGTACAAGTCCACTGGCCTTGACCACCATGCCACCTGCTGGCGCTATCATCACTGCACCTTCAGTCCGAAAGACTGGCATTTAATACACATACTATTAATGGCTATTGATGGATTAATTAACAACGTGGTTTAATGTGTTCATTAAACCATTCAACAAATGAATATTTAGATCATATTGAATTATCTTCTGGCAATTAGAATTGCCAATGTAGCTCATGAAGAACTTGAACTGTAGAGTTTTGCAATCTCCAAGCTTCTTTTGGAACAAGATAACCATACAGTTCTCTATCTGTGTATTCCTTCAACTACTTATTGAACACCTGCTATATTCCATGCAGCATTCTAAGTGTTCTAAGTACCATGTTCCAGGCATCCATATACAGTAAGGTACAAAATAGACAAGAATCTCTTCTTTCATAAAGCTCAAACTCTAACACATCATACAAGTAAACATATAACCCATCAGATGACAAGTACTATAACGGAAAATAAATCAGGGGTTGGAGATCAGAGGAAATTGTGTAAGGGTGAAAGCTACTATTCACTATTTTCAATGTAAGAGTGGTCCAGAAGGCTTCACTAAACAGAAGAGAGGTTGAGAAAATCTAGGAGAAATACATTCTAGGCAGAGGGAAGAGAAAATGTGAAGATTCTCAGCCAGTAGCAAGTTTGGAGTGGTCAAACAGTAGCAAGGCCAGTGTGGCCCTGTCAAAATAAGCAAGGAGGGGACCAGCAATTAGTGTAACGGCTATGTTTCTGAACTCCCATGTAGTCGACCGCGGTTCGAGTCTGGACCCCACTGGCTTAAACTCACGCCGGGCATGTGTGTGTGCGTGTCCAAGATCCCAAGAGGAGAATGGAGGAGAAGGGACTGCGGCGTGGCCATCCCCCCTGGGGGGTGATTTCTCACTTTCTGTTTCTCTGTCCCTCTCTGTCTTTCTGGAGAGCACACGCTCCCTATAGCAAAAACCTCTCCAAAAAAAATAATAATAAGCAAGGAGAAGGTCTAGGAGACATGATCAGAGGGATGGGTATGGGTTAAAAGGATTACTCTGGCTACCCTACTTAGAATACACTGTAGGGATGCAAGGACAGGAGCATAGAATTAGCTAAGAGGCAGCAGGCATCATTCAAGTAAGTGAGGGAGGTGGCTTGAAGTATAGTGGTGACCATGAAAGTGGAATGAGGTGGTTGGCTTTATATATATTTTGAAGGTATTGCTGAAAGCCATCATGCCACCTGCTGGCCCTGGATTAATTAATGTGTAAGATTTTTGTTGGGTCAGCCCTATGGCCTAGTAGTCAAGGAACTTTAATTCCACATGGCCAATCACAGAGTTCAAATCCTGGTCTCACATGGCATGATTTTCAAGTACATACCCAAAATCCCAACAAGATAGAAAAACGGAGGAGAAGGGATCATGGCATGACCATGTCCCATTATGGGATACTTTCTCTCTCTCTCCTCTCTCTGTCTCTGGCGAGCATACATGCCCTCTGGCAAATAAAAAATAAAAAGAATAAAAGATTTTTGTTAATTTTTAAAAGGCTTTAAAACTATCTGGAAAAGCTATAACAATAAAAGCTTTTTAATTCCTACGGGCACAAGTTACTAGAAGCATTTTATTACAACGTGAATTGCCTAACTTTCCCCAAACATCTTAGAGAGTTGAACTCCCTGCAGTTACATGTACATTGAGTTCCAGTTCAAAACTTTTCACTGAACCAGATAATCAAGTGAGAAAAAAGAAGCAGATCAAGTTAGTGGGATTATAAGATTAGGCAAAGAATTTCCTGACTCAGCAATTGGATTAAGTGACAATTACTCAATTCACTGAATTTAAACATGTGGTTAATGAACTGTTCTAACTGCCAAGTCTTAAAGGCCAGGCAAACAGATACCCAGGAAACAACCAGCAAGGGAATGTCCGAGAAGATCTTCCTGCCCAATACTGCGATTCTGCACGTTTACAGAAACAACAACTGAGGCAAATTAACGAGCACAGGCTCTCGTGACTATGGCTGTATTTCTCAGTGAAGTATGATCCAGGGGCCAATTGTATCACGGTCACCCAGGAGCCATATTAAAAGGCAGATTCTTTTTTTTTTTTTTTTTTGGACAGGTTTTTGCTATAGGGCGCGTGCGCTCACCAGACAGAGAGAGACATAGAGACAGAAAGTGAGAAATCACCCCCCAGGGGGGATGGTCACACCGCAATCCCTTCTCCTCCACTCTCCTCTTGGGATCTTGGGCACGCACGCACATGCGCCCGGCACAAGTTTTAAGCCACTGGGTCCAGGACACAAACCGCGGTTGACTACGTGGGAGTCCAGCAACGTAGCCATTACGCTAACTGCTGGTTCCAAAAGGCAGATTCTTGATCCCTCTTTAGTAACATTGAAAAAGAATCTCTGAAGATGAACGAGGCCCAGTAATCCGCATTACTATTATAGCAAGCCTTCAGATGGTTCTTAGGTGCACTAAAGACTGAGAATCGCTGAGCTAGTGAGTATTTTAGGATATATAATTCAGAATGTCTATATAGTATTTTTTTACATTGTGAATGAATTACAAAGTGATCTACTTGGTTAATAGAGTTTATTAAAAAGTGGATTTTTTTAATGATTAAAAAGGGCTGGAGGGACAAAACCTGCTGAGTCAATATATTCATTTTACCTAGAAGAATGTTTGCTATTTTCTGTAATAGTTTTGAAACAGCTATACATTCATGAGATCAGATAATGAAGAAGAGGAGAGAGAGCTGGGTGACAGAGTGTCTAGGCCACCCTATTCTACTTAAGCCAGAAAAAAATGGAACAGCAGTATTCATCTTCATGTACATTCACTTGTGTCAATACAGAGAAGTACAGAGGAGCAACCCACAAAGCCAATTATCAAGATATATCATTAACCTATACGAATGTGTCACAGGTTGACAACTGAAGGTGCACTGACAGGACAGATAGTCAGAAATATCTAATACTTATACATTCCTTTTCAAAATAGAAAGGTACATGTACACTCAGGTTTAGGAACATAAATTTTCATGACCTAAGAGAGTGAGTAAATAGGTGGAAAGGCCCTTAATGAGTGTAAGAAGAAATGGTGATAGACAGATTAAGTATTAAAAAACATCAATTCACAGGCCAGACAGTGGCATAGTGGCAAAACATGTTGTTGTGCAAGGTAATTCCACATGAGAAGGTTCTCAGTTCAAGTCCAGAGCCTTTCTGAGTATATTCAGCACACATCTGCCTACAGTCCAGGGCTGACTGAAGACTAGGGTGGATCATGGAGTCAAGACGCTCTTGGAGGTGCTATCTGTCTTTTTCACTTGCTTATGGAAGAAATAAATAAGCTATAAAAATAAAATACCAAAACAGTCTTCTATATTCAGTGGCAACTAAAGAAATGATCTAAGTGACTAACAGCAAGACTTTGGGTATGAGTCAGGCCTGGTGTCAAGTTTGGTCTCAGACACTTGAAAGCCTGCCTAATCAAATAAGTTAAAGTCTTTCAAGATTCACTGCTCTCCCTTTTGCCTGGAACTGCCATGTTCCAGTAATTATCCAAAATGACAAACACAAAGGGAATGAGGAGAGGCACCCAATATATGTTCTGTAGGCCTTTTAGAAAACATAAAGTGTTTCCTTTGGCAACATCTATGCGAATCTACAAGAAAGGTGATATTGTAGACATCAAGGGAATGGGTACTGTTCAAAAAGGAATGCCCCACAAATGCTACCATGGCAAAACTGGAAGAGTCTACAATGTTACCCGGCATGCTGTTGGCATTGTTGTGAACAAACAAGTTAAGGACAAGATTCTTGCCAAGAGAATTAATGTGCGTATTGAGCACATTAAGCATTCTAACAGCAGAGATGGCTTCCTAAGGCATATGAAGGGAAATGACCAGAAAAAGAAGAAAGCCAAAGAGAAAGGTACCTGGGTTCAACTAAAGCGTCAGCCTGTCCCACCCAGAGAGGCACACTTTATGAGAACCAATGGAAAGGAGCCTGAGCTACTGGAACTTGTTCCCTATGAATTCATGGCATAATGGGTGTTAAAAATAAACTATTTTGTGGTCTATTAAAAAAAAAAGATTCACTGCTCTCATCAGTAGGATGGAGGACAGAAGATGGTGGCACCTTTCTCAGAGAGTTGATATAAAGATTAAATTAGAAAATATAGGGGGGAAGTGAGAAGAATTTTTATTAATCGACTAATCTACTTTCTGAGTATAGAGTATACAAGAGGCAAGGATGGAAATCCAGGCAAATCAAGGGAAAAATATGGAAATCCTAAATTTGAACAAGTGTCTGTAGAAACTAAAGAGTAACAGTGGGCTTCCAGTCAGCCAAGCACAACTAGAGGGTTACCAACAACCTCAGTAAAGGGGAAAAAATGAAAAAGATCTATGAAGGGTGACAAAGCTTCCTGTCCAAAGAAGACACAACGTAATGACAGCCTACGGTCTTAGAAGAGATGCCAATTCCCCCATTACCCTTTAAACTGCCACCAGTCAACCAGCTTCACTGACGTATTTTGTAGGCTTGGTGTAACAATTAAAGGTCAGCTCCAAAGGCCAGAAATTACACATATATAGGAGACTGTGTGCCTATACCTATCCAAATCAAACAGATATCCCTAAAACAGCAAAAGAGGCCAGTACTAAGACATTCGCTCTGGAAGAACTAATCCTGTGGAAGTGCCTTCTTCACCTACAGAGGCTTTGCCTAACCCAGAAGAGTCTGCAGCTCCCCTTAAGGGAGTTAATATCATTGAGGTGACAACCTCTTCCCTAGAAGCTGGTTTCCTGAGCCAGAGTTGCATCCATGGCTGGGAAGATAGAGGCAGTAGAATCAGAGACTGTGGAATCCCCACAAGAGGCCTATGGTGTCAGGTAGTGTGTGGTCCATGGGAGAAGTCGCCCTGCAAACACAGGTGTTTGGGTTCACCTGCAGTTTCATGCTGGCTAAGCCTGGGTTCCTGGGAAGCAAAAAGGGAGAGTGAGTGCATTCTTCCTGCTTTTGGCCTGCAATTTTCTACCCCCGCACCTGAAGGACAACATGTTGTACCCAAAATATGTTCAAAGGAAGAAGGTCTTAATGAAGAGTCTCCAGTGGGATTAGAAAATCAGGAAAAGAGCATATCTATGGTTGTAATTAATGTCACAGAAGTTGGACTGTCGACTCCACAGTGACCCAGACAGCTGAACTCTGGTCCTCCGCTCTGGCTAAGGCTGTACTTGCCTGCCCACAGGCCATGCAGACTGGTGGGATGCAAATGTTACCCTTGGACCCCCGACAGTGTCTGCTGCTTCATGGTTTGGGATACAGAAACTCTTATGTTTGAAAATAAAGAAGACTTTCACAGATGACCATACATCCAGTTACTAAGAGGAAGAAGTTATTCCTACTACCAAATGTCTACCCTTCTGAAACAGAAAGGACTTCAACAGCTCTTTGAAGTAGGCACTGGTCAGCAGTGCACTGTGGAGCAGGTGGGACAAGTAACTCATCTGCTTCTGTGTTGGATTTTCCTCCTCAGGATACTGATGACTTAAGGAGAGCTTTCCTTCTGATTATAAATTTAATAAATGTCAATATTTTGAGCAAAAATAAAAAAAAGAAAGAAAATACAGGGGAAGGACCAGCCACTGGTGTGCTGGTTAAAGACAGCTGGAATCACACATGGCTGACTGCACGGTTCAAGTGCCAGATACAACAGCTTGATAAATCCACTGAGTATGTGTGTGTGCGTGCATGCCCAAAATTCTGAAGGAAGTGGAGAAGCAGCTGCGAGGTGATTAACCTCCATGAGGATGTTTTCTTACTTTCCCTCTCTCTATCCTTTTCCAGCAAGCACATGTACCCTCTAGTAAACTGGAAAACAGACAAAAAAAAAAAAAAAAAAAAAAATAGGGGGAAATTCTTAACACAAGCACATAATAGGTACTCAATAGATGTTAGCTATCCTTATTATCAATTAGAATTTTCTGGATCATATAAATAGGCAATTGTAGAAGCATGGGGATGAGCACGAAAGAGATGTGACATCAAATGGTTGTGAATACAACCGCAATATGACTTTAACTTATTTTGTAGTGTATTGCTTCCACGAAAGCCATAAATTCCTTCCCACTAAATGGACAACATCCCTTCCCTGTAACTCTTCACTGCTGTTACTTCTTAAAGACTAAACTTTGAGAAATATATACTGAAAAATCCCTCTAATGCTTCTAAGCCAAAACCACAGTGGATCAGAACAATGTGAGCTATGCTGAAAGGTCACATAGAAAATCAGCTACTAAGCATAAATGTGAAAAGATCACAGAACAGATACTTAATGATAAGTCATATATTTTAAGTTCAAGAATGCCACTGGGAAGATGTCCTTACAAACTTTTCAAGTTTCATATGTTTACATCTTAACCGTAATGAAACCCTGGGAAGACAGTTAACTCCTAATTTTTTTCGAAAAAAGTCTCCATCCCAACTTTACCAGATGGTCCATAGGAGTTCCCCATATTGTATGCTGTTCCATCTGGGTCATAATGAGGATGTGCTGTTGCTCCATTCACAGCAATAAATTTGCTCCAATCTACCTGCAAATGAAAGACCATTAGAGATTTTTAAGAAATAATTATTTCATTTCATGTATTATTATTATTTCTTTTTTAATTTGCTGCAGGGCACATGTGCTTACCAGAGAGAGACATAGAGAGAAAGTAAGAAGCAAGCTGCGAGGTCTGGGATTCAAACGGTGGTCATGTAGGAGTCCAGTGCCTTAACCACCATGCCACCTACTGGTCCCCACTAGAGATTTTTAAAAGTTACATGGGTAGCTCTCTATTTGCATTCATAAATGGCTGAGATGTGTCAAATGTTTTCAAAATAATATATGAAAACTGCAGCCTAAGCTCTAATTTCTTACTTTTAAGAAGTCAAAATATGTTTCCTAAACTAAGGCCAAACAATAAACAAACAAACAAAAAACCCCACCATCAACAGCAGTAAACTAAACCTGAATAGATTTGCCCAAGATCACAGGGAAGTTCAAAAGAAGCATAGGAATTAAAATTAAAATTGTGGCCTGTAATTTTTTTTATAATTGCCAAAGGGTACATAAGCTCACCAGAAAAGAGAGAGGAGAAGAAACTACCCCCATCCCATGAGACATGGTCACAACACAATCCCTTCTCCTCCCATTTCCTCATACTGTTGGGATTTGGGGCATGAACACACACGTGCTAGTTAAGTTAGAATCCCTCCAGGGCTGAGATTCAAATTGCAATCAGCCATATAAGCACTAGGCTACAGGCCAACCTGGGAAATTATATTTTATAATTTTTTTCTTTCTTTTCTTTTTTCTTTTTTTTTTAATTTGCTATAGGGCACCATATTCACCAAAGAGAATGAAAGTAGGAGAGAGAAGGAAGAGAGAAGGAAAGTGAGAAAGCAAGCTGCCAGGTCCAAGACTCAAACCAGTCAGCCATGTGAGAATCCAGCACCTTAACCACCACACCACCTGCTAGCTCCAAGGGAATGTTTTTAAAATTAATGTGTTAAGTGAAGGAAATAAAGAGTCTAGATCACTTCTCTTTTTTTAATAGTTATTAACTATAGCGGGGTCAGTAGGTGGTGTGGTGGTTAAGGCACTGGACTCCCACATGGTTGACCACAGTTTGAGTCCTAGACCTGGTGGCTTGCTGTCTCACTTTCTGTCTTTCTGTCTCTCTCTGATTAATTTAAAGAATAATAATAATAAATAAAGTTAAATAAAAATAATTATTTTAAAATATTTATTTATTTACATGTTATTATTATTTTTTAACTTGACGAGAGAAGGAGAGAGAGAGAGAGAATGAAAGTGAGAGAGCAAGTTGCCAGGTCTGAGATGCAAACCGTGGTCAGATGCATACCCCACCATGCCACCTGTGGGCCCAAAAATAATTCTTGGGGGAAAAAAAAGGACCAGAAGATGGCATAATGGTTATGTCGCTGGACTCTCATATAGTCAACTGCAGTTCGAGTCTGGACCTGGTGGCTTAAAACTCATGCATAGTGCGTGTTCTTGAGTACCCAAGGTTCCAAGAGGAGAATGAAGGAGAAGGAACTGTGGTATGGTCATCCCCCTGGGGGTGATTTCTTGCTTTCTAGTTTTGTCTCTCCAGCAAGCACAAAACAATCTTCTTTGCCCTATAGCAAAAAAAACTCTCCAAAAAAAAATAGTCACTATAACTAGGAAGAATACGAGTTGGCCAAACTGGATAGTACTATTCTTTTTCTCTTTTACCCTAGCCTTCAGATATCAAAAATAAGAAAAGGAAAGGTTTTCCTTTAAGGAAAACCAACCCCTACAGACCATTCTAATCAGGACAGAGTAAAGGTGACCTGAATCAATGGATGACTTTGTTTTTGTGTGGTTTAGGCTCTAATTCCTTTTTCAGATATCCACCACTCTAAAAAGTATTTTGACGGGAAAGACATTTTAGGATCTATTTTGTTCTTTGTTTAACAAACACATTACCTTTTCTGTTTTTTCCAGAGTTTCAATGTCCACTTTATTCATAAAGTTGGTTTCAGTACTAACGTAATAATCGCCTTTGTACTGCACATAGTTGACGTTGGTGTTGTCAGTGATGGCTGAAACCAAACCCGAATTAGTTAAACACCACAGCTTACTGCAGCACTGCAGCAAACCTGGAGCACATGCTCCAGGGAGAACGCAACTTCAACATCTTCTCACATAACCCCCACCAAAAAACTAAAAAAGAAAAAAAAAATATATATATATACACATATATCAGTTTTCAAAGATTTATATTTGTATAGGTTGCCATGTATCACAGTATTTTATCACTATCACCACCTGCAAATTCTGGGCACATTAAGGGCAACTTACTAGGTTTCTCAAACTTTGACATGAAACGTTCGAAAATATTCTTGCATGGATCTGGGAGAGACAGTGTGCCAAATTCTGAGATCACAATTCGATCGTGAACACTGTTGGCCATATATGTATCACTCTGCAGAAACCTGCTCTTATACGTTACTGTGCCCTTCTCCATCCTGAACTGGTGGAGCAAAGCCATTCCATCAAACCAATGATTATACCTGCAAACAGAAGACAAAAGCAGAAAACCAAGTATTATTAAGAAAACCGTGGGATTAAAATGAGAGACGGGAAGATTTGCCTTCATTTCAAATACAGACATAAGGAAATGGAGTAGATTTCCAGCACAATCTAGTTAATTGGCAAACTGGAAATTAAGAGAGAATAGCATTCTAAGTATATCTGGGGGTACAACAGGAAAGAAAAACTTATACTCTCCTGACCCCTGCTTGCCTCCTGTCCAAAAGTTCATATTTTAGAAGGTAATTCTTTTTCTTTTAATATTGCCAGAGAGTGTATGTGCTCACCAGCAAGAAAGGAGGGGGGAGAGGGAGAAAGCATCCCTCTGCATGGGGCATGGTCACACTGCAATCCCTTCTCCTCCATTTCTCCATCCTTTCAGAATTTGTGTGTGGGGTGGGATGCGGTGGGGGTTGCATGCACACACACACACACACACAAAGTATGTTTCTCATGCTGCTTGGTCTAGGACTCAGCATCCAACTCCGTTAACCACCAGGCGATAAGTTGGCCCTATGATTCTTTTTCTTTTTTTTTAAGTTTCTTTTTTCTATGAGTGAGAAAGACTAGTACATCCAATGGGGTCTTGACACCATGATCCACCTCCAGCTTCCTAAAGAAACAAAAGCAGAAAAGAAATGTTCAAAATGCTCTATTTATGCAAAGAAGTAACAGGATGGAAGGATAGGGGGTTACAGAAGCATCAAGAGCAGAGGACACATTTGGCTGGTTCTGTAAGGATGTTTACCAGATAAAGAGGAAAGAAGGGCCATAAAAACATGGTATTCTGGAGGAAAAGTCATATAATGAGTTAGTGTGTGGGAGACCTGCTGATGGCAGGTGATGGTGATACACAAACAGGTCCACACAAGACCTACCAGCACTTAGACTTAAGTTTTAAAGACTTCAACAGGAAAGCGTGCTGTTGTATTTTTTTAAGACAGGATCTCACTATGCTGCCATCCTCCTGTCTCAAACTCCCAAGCAGGTGGGAATATAGGTGCATGCCACCGAGCTCAGCTCTTTCACACAGAGTCTTGCCATGCTGCTTAGGCTGATTGCCTGCCTCAGCCTCCTGAGTAATTGGGATCTGACTGCTAGTATGAATTAAATACCAAACCTGAGCCTCCTATGTGACCTCAGATGGCCAAGTAGTAGCATCCACCAGCATGTGCCAATATGGTTGGGCCACACATGGAGTTCTGAAATAGGAGAGTGAAACTGATGGACCTGTACCTGAGAAAGGTCACTCTGCATATAAGACTACAATATGGGATAAAAGCAGAGCATCCAGGTTTGGGCAAACCAAGGAAGACAACGAACAATAATTCAAGTCAAAAAAGATGAGAGCCTACACTGAAGCAGAAGCAGATAGAAAAAGACAAATTCCAGAAACAAGTTGGAGGTGACTGATAGGATCTAGGCAGTGACAAAACAGAAAGACCACAAAGTCATGCCCAAGGCCGGCAGATAGTGTGGTAGTTGAGGTGCTGGACTCCCACATAGCTGACCACAGTTCAAGTCCCAGACCTGGTGGCTGCTTTTTCACTTTCCAAATTCTCTCTCTCTCTGTCTCTCTGGTCAAATAAATAAATAAATAAATAAATGTAAATAAATAATTCTTAAAAAAAAAAAAAAAAAGTCATGCCCAAATGGCTGGCTGGCTCATGATACTTTAAGTGAAATAGAATCTATGTGAAGAGCAGGTACTGGGAGAAAGCAAATAGTCAGTTTTGAACAACAATCTCATCTATTTGTAGAACACCAGGGTAGAGGGACCAGCAGTTAGCATGATGGCTATGTCGCTGGACTCCCATATAGTCGACCGCAGTTCGAGTCCCAGACCCGGTGGATTAAACTCACACTGAGCGCATGTGCGTGCGTGCCCAAAATCCCGAGAGAAGAATGGACCAGAAGGGATTGCGGTGTGGCCATCCCCCCTGGAGGGTGATTTCTCGCTTTCTGTCTCTCTGTCTCTGTCTGGTGAGTGCATGCACCCTATAGCAAAAACCTCTCCAAAAAAAAAAAAAAAAAAAAAAGAACACCAGGGTAGAGGTTTTCTACAGCCAATTGGCAAAATACTGACGTAGAGAAGAGATGGGCAGGATGGGAGATATATGCTTGACAGTATCTATGTGTGTTTAAGTTTGCAAATGAGATAGTAACTACTATTCACTTAGCAATAACTACATCCTAGTTACGAGTGTTGAGCACTCGACCACGTCTTTTCCTATATACATGTGTATACATATTTTTTTTTCCTTAGACTGGTTCTGAGGAATTATTACTCCCACTAAACAGATCTGGAAACCAAGGTTCAGGGTAACATGCCCACAGTCATAGGACTGGCAAGTGACTAAAAAAGAGACTGAATTCGGTGCTAATTCTAAATCTTGGACTCAACCACATCCCAAAAAGGTGAACTATAAGACATTACTTGGCAAGAAAAAGAGTGGGGACAGGAGATGATGCAGCAAGGTTTTGGAGAGTGGAGATACAGCATGGTTTCCAGAAGAGAGAAAGAGAGCCACTTCCTCTGATATGGAGGAGACAGGAATTGTGGGCTTACACTAGGGAATATGGAGGAAAAGAGTGAAACTGAAGGCATTCAAATCTGGCTGCCCCTAGTCATTCCTTCCTATGAGTAGGCCATTTTATCAGTTGAGAGGGAAAATGAAGGAGCATCAGGAAAAGGAGTGGGGTTTAGAGCAGAGACTGCAGGAAGTTGAAAAGAACACTGATTGCTAAAGATGCCCTGGCAGTACCAAGTCCTCAGTGAGAACTAGAAGTCATAATGATGGAACTGAGTCAACCAGCAAGGTTATGTGATTGCTCTAGAAGTGCTCAGCAGGCCTGAACTATAAGCAGAAGCCAAGAATGGGCTAACCTAGGACTAAAAATAATCAAAAAGAAAAGCAGGGATCACTAAAGCAGAGGAAGTGAAAGAAGTGGTTAAAAATGTATTTAAAGCAGCTGATAAGCTGAAAGGATGGAGAATAGTAAAAAGAAAATTGGATAGAACAGGAAACAAGTTTGATGGGAACGGAAGAGCATGAAAATTGGGGTTTTGAGCATAGAAGAAGTTTCAGAGTTTAAGATTTAAGGGGTAGAGCAATTCTGTGGAGTGAGTTCCAGGTGTAGCTTTGGTAGGCGGCCTTGTTGAAGGTGTTTGGATGAGACAACCATGGATGTAGTAATGGTCCAGAAACTGGGAGGCTACACTGTCACCATTATAGTTCCTGAAGTCTTACCAGGAGAGTGGTAGATAGTGCATTAAAACGCTGAGGATATTTACCATTCTGCCCAGATTTATGTAGCTTGTGAAAACTGATAAACAGATGAGCAATGCAATAGAAGGAAGGCCTTTACCATGTGACTACCATGTTTGCATGGTGACATGGACCTGTTAAGCCTACAGAGTGATCCACAGAGTGATCAGAGGTTCCCATGTGAGTGGAGCTATTCTTGCTCACAGGTGAAGGTTACACTGGCTTTAGGTCCCAGCCCTCCCTTTAGGTCTAATGTGGAGAGCCAACCACTAACCTGAGTCTCAGTTTGTCTCGCTTTGACCTAAAGATATCTGTACTTCTTACCCAAGGGGAAGGCAAGACCCTGTTCTTGCTAAAAATGCCCACTGCAGCTAGCTCAAAAAAACTGATTTGAAGATTAAAGTAGACCTCCTAAGGATGAGATATGCCACCCTCTTCTACCAAAAATAGTTATCTTAAAAGAGGGTCCGCTGTTTGGTTTTAGCCAGGTATTACAGTTTCTCATTCTGCAGCAAATGAAATACCACATGCTTTTTGCAAGTGGCCAGTTACTCTCTGGGAGATAAACAAGTGGTTTTCTCCCCTCCTCTACCTCCCCTCCTTCCTCTCTTCTTCCTGTCTCATGCTCTCTTTTTTAAAATAATAACTTGTGTACAAGACAGACAAGTAAAATAGAGGAAAGCAGAACTTCTCCAGTAGCTCACTTTTTCTCCATCTCCAAATTTACCCCCCCCACTCCATTACCCTCCTCCACACCAGACTCCATCCTGACATGTAAAGTAACTTCATAAAGGTTTCTTAACAGCAACTACAGAAAACAAAAACAAAACAAAAATGCATTTTATTTCCTTCTAACACTATCATTTTATAAGTCTATTATTCAATGAAGACAAGATGTAACAGGTTCAGAAAATTAAGATAGTTGGACTATCTTAACATACTTTCAGCAAGTAAGCATAGTAGTGACATGACAGAAGCCTTCCTTCAATTACATTGCTTATCAATGATTTAGTTAAAGACCTGCTTATCACCTCCATGGCCTAGTGGTTAAGGCAGCCAGATGCCACTTGGCCAATCCTGTGGTTTTTGTCCTAGACCTGGCAGCTTGAGAAACATCTGGGTACGTGTACATGTCCAAAATGAGGGAGAGATGGAGAAAACACTAAGGACACCCCCAATAGAGGGAAATGTGCTTTCCCTCCCTCTCTCTATGATGAATGCAATATGCCCTCTAGCAAAAAAAGAACGAGGAGGAAAAAAAAAGGAAGGAAAGAAGGAAGGTTGTTTTTTTTTTTTTTAGAATTAGTTATTTTCATTTGTTGTTATATTATTTTTTTAATTTGAGCATAGAGAGACAAAGAGAGAGAAAAGGAAAGAAGCAAGAAAGGAAGCCCCCAGATCCTAGACTTGAACTGTGGTTGGCCACATGGGAATCTAGAGCCTTTAACCACCACGCCACCTGCTGGCCCAAGAAGAAAGTTTCTTAATCAAAGATATCTTGGATATGTCCTCCATTCTTGGTTGGCTTCCAACAACACCTAAAGAATCATAAGACCATGATCAGATTCCAACTAAACCAGTAATACATCTAGCAGAAAGTAGAATGGTGGTTTTCAGAGGCTGAGGTACAGGAAGAATGGGAGTCAGTGTTCAGTGAGTATAGAATTCCAGTTCTGCAAGATTAAATGAGCTCTGTGAATAGATGGTAGCAC